AAAGGTGCAAGAATCAGCTGAGAAAACACAAAAATGTTTACGAATCATGGTATAACAAAATACAGCAGTGATTTAATTTGAAGGATGACCCTTTTTAATAAACAGACATAGACCTTTTTAATAAACTGACATAGACCATTTTCATTCAGATCTGTTCTTTTACATGATTTTGTAACATCTATAACTCCCTTAACCAGTGCAAGGCATGTTACAGTTACATATCTCTTTTTGAAGAGAGTTCCAGTCGGAGATGATCCATTTTGTTTTCCAATGAGTGGACGTTGGAGAGCAGGATAGATGGAAGCAGAGGTCTGTGGGGATCTCTCATTAGCTTTGCAGTTAGCCCCCCTCTGCAGCCTCATTTTCTCCATCTCACGCATCTCTTTCTCCGTCCGTTATGTTCCACTTTGTGTTATTGATATCCGTCCATAGCACTCCGCAGCTTTTTAAACAGTAAAGAATGTCTGTATTTAAAATATTTTGTGACCATAGCTCCAGCAGGCGTTGGCGATCATAGATACAGGTTCGATGTCTAGTTTCTATAATTTTAAGCAGCATATTTTGTGAAATTGTCGAGAGGAGCTGTTCTTGGCCGCTGTCTTGGAGCACCGCCATGGTAACCCTTAATATATTGTATATAATATTATAAATGTTTTGTTTCATAATAGCTTTAACCTTCATAAAATAATATTAAGGAATTAGAAAACTCCTTAGTTGGCAATGTGACTTATTGTCAGAGTATTGTATCCAAACCTGTTTCATGCATACGTACCATGTCCTGTGCAGCAGTCCATGCTGGATGTGTGCTAAATCTGTCTATTCATTACTTGTTACTTTGAAATTTACGAGATACAATTTACTCTTGCTGTGTTATACTTTATGTCTTGCTCATCTAGTTTTAAGAAATTGATGCTTTGTGCTTTATCATTTGTCAAAAATGTATTTGTTCTATATATCAGATGTACGAGAGAGAAGTTCCGTGTTTCAAGCCGCAGCACAATTACAAGAAAAGCTTCTATTTGTCAGTTTCTGTAAAACAGATTAATGCTTTTATATTGGGCAGCCTACTCAAAATGACATTTCTTAAAAAAAAAAAAGGTAGGAAACCTATACATGCTCACAATAAAATAATTTGGTGGTGTGGAGTCCTTACCCAAAAAAAGAAAAAAAATTCTCTGTTTCATAAGAAGCCTGTAAAACACAAACGCAATCTTTGGCTCGATTGTAAGGCCAACAATGATTGCCCAATCAAAAAACAGCTTTGCATCGAATGCAAAGTGTTGTATTGTCCAAGCATCTACCCCATCACATGAGATACGTTTGTCAATCTGTAAACATGGATAAATGTTTTTCATACATCCTGTACAATTACAAATTAATCAAGCGTACATCTATATTGTTCAATATGAATAGAAAAAAAGATACATTTTCTATTTTCTCGGGCTTTGAGATAAAATATTGAGAAAAGATAAAATAATTGTATAAAGTCAAAATTGTATTTGTTTAAATTTCTAAATGAACAAAAATGAACTTAAAACAACTAAATGAATATCCCTCTTTATAACTACAGTTATTAGTACAAAAATATGCTAAAAAATAAAAATACAAAATTTATCACTTTGAATAGTTTAATTTTGTGCTGAAGAGAAAAAAATTTAAATACTTCAACAATGAAAATAATCAATTACCTTGTGTTTTTTGGTCTGGAAACATTTATTTGCAAAAAAAAATATGTAATACATTTGTTCAGTGAAATTAATTATCAGACTATTTTCAGAAAAGATCAATGTTGCCATATCCCTTAATTCTGACACAAACTATTGATAATATTACCATTTGATGTTTTGAATATTCTTCTAAGAGTTTACATTAAGCAGTTTGGCAGGAAATATTCAAGATTTTACAGGTGGATCGTTATCATAATTTTGCTGTTTCCATTTGCTTTCATCATTTCCTATAAAGTTAGCTTGAAAGAGAAAGTTTGATGGATGGATTGGCTTGGAACATTATAGATAATATGTAAAAGCATCTCGCAAAGACTTTCCAGTGATGTCTCCCCTGAGTAACATAGCTCTTGCTCAGAGTTTGTTGCTTTTACTGAGTCTGTGGGCATCTACTCACAGACAACTAAAGTAAAATGGCACCTCAAAAAAAATGAAAAAAGAAATTATTTGAGTGAATGAGTCAGCTAGAGTTGGAAATGGGGATAGTTGGATGGGGCAAGATGGGAGAACAGCAAATAGTGGAAGCAGAACTGTGGAAGAGACATTTTTAAGGATCTTGGTGAACCAATAAAAATGGCATATCTTTGACTAATACATTAAATAATTGTGAGATTATAGGGAAATGCAATGTGTTTTTTTTTATTTGTTTTGGAAAAAAATAAACTTAATGTAACCTTTTCCTTGCAATCGCAACTTTTACCAGCGTTGGTTTTTATATTTTTTAAACGTTGCGCAGTAGTAGTTGTAATGACATCACAAGTAAGCATGCTTTGTGTTTTCGAAAGTAAACATGATCTCACCTAACCTTATAAACAAATTCTTTTCAAGATGGTAAAACATAAATACTACTCTCCCCATCATCGTCCACCATGGTTGTTGTTTTGCTTGCCACTTCTGCATAGCAAGATGCAGAATAGTGACCTTTGTCGGGTATTAATGGCATACAAGTTGGATGAATGTGACCTGGCTGTTGAGACACAGGTCGCATTTGAAAAGTCAGATTCGTATCGGATTCTGGAGCACAAAGCCAAGTGGCCTGGGTCGCAACAGAAAAAATTAAATCTGATTTGTTCAAACTGTCATGAAAAGATCAGATAGAGGTGACATATGGGCAAAAAAAAATCGGTTTTGTGTCACTTCAGGCTGCTGTGTGAACGTAGCCTAAGTCTCCAGGCTGTGCAGCCTCCAATAGGTTTACTTTAAGGTTTGCCCTCCATTCATCAGATTTCAATTATCATCTTATCATTAACTACAGTATTACACATTCTTTGTCCTTACTAAATAAAAAGATTGCAACAGTTTGATGCTGCCACCATCTTTCCCTTTGAGAGTTATGCACTTTTTTTTCTTTTTTCTTTTTTTTTTTTTTTACACACTGCTTTCTCCTTGTTGTCCTTACATGGATGGGAAATTATTAGCACAGCAACAGAAAGGTTGAGAGGTATTAATACTCCCTCAGGCACCATATATTCACAACAGATAGCAGAAAACATATTTTTGAAAAAATGTCTGATGTCTATTTTGAGTGTGGGACCAGTTATTCTGTCCCTGAAGATGACTGGAAAATGTATACTCATGAGAACAGGTTATTCACTCCAGAACCAAAGTATCCATTACTGAACCTATGAATTCATACAACATTAAATTGGCAGGAGCCCAGCTGGTCACTTTCTCCCTCTCAATGACATTCAAGAGCTGGAAGCCTTTGAAATGTACTCCACAAAAAAGGTACAGTATGATGAATGTAGCAATATTAGATGGTGTGGACCAGTGTTTGGCCAAAACAAGGAGCTTGATTTCATTAGAGTTTTGCAGCAGCAATATTTTCCCCTGGTGAGCCATTGTGAGTTAGATCCATTAAAAGGCCATTCAAACCAGAGATGGAAACAGTGTTCTCTAAAAGATTTATGACTTAGACATGGAGCAATTTATGAAAACTAATATGAAAGTCTTATATAAAATGAATGCCTCTAATTGCAACTATGCTTAAGGAAAATATAAATGTGTTTATGCTGAAAAACCTCTGCTGGTGGTTATGTTTAAGATTGTTGTTATGAGTTGTAAAAGACAGACCTAAATAAAAAACAAGAGACAAAGTGTATGACTTTTTATATATATATATATTTTTATAAATATTAAACCTAAATCATGGGAAGATATGCACATTTCCATATATTTTAATAATATAATCATGGAAAAAGTAAACAAAAAAAACAAAAAAATTAAAGCCCCCTTAATTTTTTTTTTCTGTTTATTTTAAATCTTTAATAGTATAAAATTAATCTTATATCAGACAAAGATGACCTAAGTAAGTAGAACAAAAGGTAGCAACCAGTGTACATAGAGGTGATTTCCTTATAACCCTAAAGATGATTGTACTTCCCTGAGTAGTACCACACAGAGAAGCTACTATTACAAAACATACATATGTAGCTCCCAAATTCTCAAACTTAATATTATGTCAATGATGTTTTATAGTAAGGATATGCTCACTATATTATACCAATTGTTGTATGTAGATTATTTTTCAGTTAATTATTGACGATTTATAACACTCTTTGGCAGTGCAAAGACTATATAGATGTATATCAATTAATAACTTTCATCTCCTGAACATCAGTCATTCTTGATGTTTGACAAATGCTTTACTGCTTTGTTTTCCAGCGTCTGCCGGGCCTAAATCACAGTGATCACACCACCCTTGTCACAAGTGGAGAGGGAAACAACCTGCAACTGATGGAGAGAGGAAGTAAAGAGGTTGGAATCTAGGGAACTTCACTTTCACTCCAGCCCACCCCCCTGACATCCTCAATGCAGGTATTTTGGACAGTGGAGTGTTTGGAAAACCCATCGGCATTATTTCATCAGAAAGGAGGATTCAGTTAGAAGAGATTTCAGACTACACCCTAATTTGGTAAAACTCGAGAGATGCTATTAAATTTCCTCTCTTTCATTTTCTGCCTGAACTATTTCAACAAGTTAGGTGGTATTAAGTAATTTGTTAGTATAAATGGTGTTTGGTATCAATTGCTCTGACCAGTACTTGTTGAACACTAGCAAAAGGATGCGTCTTGTCATCAAGTGATATTTCCATTGGTTAAAATGCATTGATGCTGATCAACCAGTTAATTGTATCCATTCATAGCAAAATGTATCATTCAAATTCTAATAAGAAATCTCTTTTGTGTATTAAATTACAAATCAAGATATTTCTGTCATATTGGGTTGTAGTTTTTTTTTTTTACCCACATGCAGAATCACACAGAGAACCAATGTGTTTTAACACTTTATTGTCAAAAGGCAACAAGAATCTGGAAGTGGAGGCCTGCAGGAGGTCAGTTGAATTTTCTGGTTGGTCTGAGGAGAGAAAGCAGACTGATCAGGAAGAAGTTGGCTGATGACAACTGATGACTGATTGATTTGCTTATTTGAGGGATGAAGGGGAGGTAGCATGGATATGTAGGGGTTTGATTCAGTGGTATTTGCAGTCTGTACCTCAGAGGTCCAGGAGAATGTGAGTGAGATCAGAGAGATTTAGTACTTGCAAGGAAGAGCTGGCAGGGAGGTGATGAAGACTGAGAACTGCTGCACACAGTTAAGACCTTTTCCATGAAGATCACAGACCAACTGAGGTTTACTGCTAATCTGGACAAATAATACAGCCCTGTTAGAAGAGATTCACAAGAAGACAAATTTCAATCAGAAGAATATTCCTGGTTTAGAAGGTTTGTTGGAATACCATCTGGGTAATCATCCAGAAAAGGGAGTTGATCCCTTGCCTCCTTATATACACGCTAGTCATCTTGATTGAGTAATGTGCTCAGGTGTGCAGCCACATGGGTTGGCCAGGTTACCAGCAAAGATCCTCCATGCTACAGGAAGCTCACTCACACCAGTTAAAAAGCAAAACCACAGAGACCCTAACATCTCAGTTTGTTGAATAAATAATTACTGTAGAATCTCACATTAGAGACTGATGTAACAATTTCAAGAAGGTAACCAAAGAAATAGATTAAGTGGCTAAGTTTACATTAAATCAATAGCAAAATAGTAGTCAACACTAAAGTTCTGACATATTTATTCCATCCATCCATCCATCCATCCATCCATTTTCTTTACACGCATGTCCCGAGTGGGGTCGCGAGGGGTGCTGGTGCCTATCTCCAGCAGTCCATATTTATTCCTCTCTCTTAAAATTCTATATTTTTTATGTCTTTTAAAAGTGATTGTGTTTATTTTGTAAAGGAAGAATTTTCCACACATGTCTTCCGCTTATGTCTAAAAATGGGTATAAAGACGTTAATCATGATAAAAAAAAATAAGTAAATAAATAAAACTTTAATCATACCAGTTCCCCTCTCCATAGTCCATAACATCAACACTCATCCTGGTTCCTTGGTAATTTATGAGTCCATGCTACTCCAAAAGTTGATTTATTGAACAAATGAATTATAACAAGTACATAAAACCATATATATAAACACATTTGCATATGTCTACACACATCCTTTTTCATACATAGCCCAGGTATCCCCTAAGTCGGTCTTTGAGGGTCTTTGTCCTGCAGGTTTTAGAGGTTTCTCTGCTTTAGCACAGCTGATTCTGGTGACTGGAATTCAGCAAAAGCCTGTTAATCAACTATCAATGTAAATCAGCTGTGCTGGAGCAGGGAAACTTCTAAAACCTGCAGAACGGCCCTCGAGATTTTGAACCTGTACCTCCCTCTTTCTCAACAAGATGTTTTGAATTCTGTATGATCACTGTTTACTTCTAGCTTTAAATGTTGATTGTGAGGTTTCAAATTTTACCAAACCAGATAAATCAAGCAAGCAGAATTGGATGACTAAGGGATTAGTGTGGTCATGATACCAAGCCTTATGAATTAGGGTGGGCAATTTCAGTTCCTTCGGGCTGGTATACTGCAGCTTTTGGATGTGCCTTTCGTTCAACACACCTGAATCCATTCGTTAGAGGTTTTAGAGGTTGCTGGAGAAACTGACTGCTTACTGAGGAGGTAACTCGGCTATTTGATTCAGGTATGTTGGACCAAGATTGGATCTAAAAGTTGAAGGATATTAACCCCTTGGAACTGGAACTGCCAACCTATGAAATAATCCTTATGGCTCCCTTCTGCAGCATGCATGGCAGTTTGAGTGTCGTCCTGTAGGCTTTGCCACAGACTTCTGCATAATAGCTGATTTATGGTAAAATCAGTGAACAGTAGAAAAAGTATTATTTTTCTGATATTCTTTTGTGTAGCGAAGAATTACAATTCCTTTAGATAATTTAATCTTAAGTCCTGTTTGATATGTGGCTTCTAATGAGTCCTGCAGTCTGCTCTTAGCAGCAATGATTTTATGGGATTCTTTATAAATAAGATTGATCTTATTAAAAATAAGATCATAAGCACTCCTCTATCCGCGATTGTACCTGAGGTAGTCATGGAATCTGAACCGGGTTTAGACTGCTTTGATCCAGTTGAACTCTCTGAATTAGCAAAATTATTGTCTTCATCTAAGCCTTCAACTTGTATGTTAGATCCAGTTCCAACCAGGTTATTTAAGGAGGTATTCCCTTTGATCTCCTCCTCCATTTTAGATGTGATTAATCTATCTCTGTTACAGGGATATGTACCTAAAGCTTTTAAGATTGCTGTAATTAAACCTCTGCTTAAGAAACCGTCTCTTGACCCAGATGACTTGGTCAATTATAGACCTATATCCAATCTTCCTTTCTTATCCAAAATTCTTGAGAAAGTAGTTGCCAAACAAGTTTGCGATCACTTCCACCATAATGAACTTTTTGAAGAGTTTCAGTCTGGCTTTAGAGCTCATCATAGCACTGAAACAGCTCTGGTGAAAGTCACTAATGATATTCTCATGGCCTCAGATAATGGACTTGTATCTGTGCTCGTCCTGTTGGATCTTAGTGCTGCATTTGATACAGTTGACCATAATATTCTTTTAGAAAGACTTGAATATTTTGTTGGAATTAAAGGAACAGCACTAGACTGGTTTAAATCTTATCTATCTGATCGAATTCAGTTTGTTCATGTTAATGATAGATCTTCAACACGCTCAAAGGTTACCTGTGGAGTACCACAGGGATCAGTGCTAGGACCAATTCTCTTTACTTTATACATGCTCCCAATTGGTAGAATTATTAGACAGCATGGGATTAATTTCCACTGTTATGCTGATGATACCCAGCTATATCTGTCTATAAATCCAGATGAAGCTAACCCATTACATAGATTACAGGCATGTCTTGAAGACATAAAAACCTGGATGACTCTTAATTTTCTGCTTCTGAATGCAGACAAAACAGAAGTTATAGTCTTTGGACCAGAGTCTCTGAAAAAGAAACTGATTAGCCAGTCACTTCATTTGGATGGGATTAAACTGATTTCAGATAATAAAGTAAAAAATCTTGGTGTTATTTTTGATCAGGACCTGTCATTTAAATCCCATATCAAAGAGGTTTCTAGAATTTCCTTCTTTCATCTGAGGAACATTGCAAAAATTAGAAATATCCTGTCCAGGGGTGATGCTGAGAAACTAGTCCATGCATTTGTTACTTCAAGGCTGGACTATTGTAATTCTTTACTATCAGGAAGTCCACAAACTGTAGTTAAAAGCCTTCAGCTGATCCAAAATGCTGCAGCCAGAGTTCTAATGAAAATGAAAAAGAGAGATCATATCTCTCCTATCCTGGCTTCTCTTCATTGGCTTCCTGTTAAATCCAGAATAGAATTTAAAATCCTCCTTCTCACATATAAAGCCTTAAATGGCCAAGCTCCATCTTATATCAGAGATCTGATTGTTCCTTATGTTCCTAACAGAGCACTTCGCTCTCAATCTGCAGGTTTACTAGTGGTTCCTAGAATTTCTAAAAGTAGAATGGGAGGCAGATCTTTTAGTTATCAGGCTCCTCTCCTGTGGAACCAACTACCAGTTTTAGTCCGTGAGGCAGACACTCTGTCTACTTTTAAGGCTAGGCTTAAAACTTTCATTTTTGATAAAGCTTATAGTTAGGGTGGCTCAGGTTATCCTGAGCTATCTCTATAGTTATGCTGCTATAGGCTTAGACTTTTGGAGGACATAGGGACCCCCATTTCATCATTCTGCTTCATTCTCTCTCTGTTCTCCTATTCTGCAGAATCTGTTAGTTCAATCTCTAACCTTCTGCTCTCTCTGCTTTTCCTCAGAGTAGCTTTGCCTCGTCTGTTCCTGTTTGGCTGTGACGTCATCCTGGAAAAAAACATCAGCTGTGCTGCTTCTATCAACACCCTTGTTAATAGATGTTGGAGATCGGCCTGTTTTCCAGTGTGGTCCTGTTTCTCTGACCGTGACTGAGTGGATGTGCTCTCTTCGTCCTCTGGCATGGGAGCTGCCTTGGAGCTCGTCTGCCTGGCTGTGTGTTTCCTGGACGGGGCCGCCTTTTACAGCTGCTTTTTGTATCTCTGCTTCTGTCTCCTTGAACCCCAGTCGGCCTCGGCAGATGGCCGCTCACACTGAGCCTGGTTCTGCTGGAGGTTTCTTCCTGTTAAAAGGGAGTTTTTCCTCTCCACTGTCGCTACAAGCATGCTTAGTGTGGGGGATTGTATTTGAGTCAATGAGTCAATGCAATCAACTGGTTTTCCTTAGATAGAAAACTTTGTATCAATTTGACTGTATGATCTGGTTGAACTGTAAAGTGCCTTGAGATGACATGTGTTGTGAATTTGGCGCTATATAAATAAACTGAATTGAAATTGAATTGAATAATCACACCTAATAATTTATTTAATTTACTTGCTCAACCTCTACGTTCTTGTTTTGTTTTTTAAACCACAAAAGGAATGCTCTAAAAAGCTACCATCAACTCGGTCATCCACTGAATATGTTGTTATCTATCTGAAAAAAAAAGCTGAATCTGAAGGGAAGCTGAACATCAACATAAATGTTGTAAAAAATCTTATTATATAATACTGCTTGTATGTGCCAAAGTGCAAAGTACTTCCCTCTCCCAATGTAGGACACTGAATTGCATAGCAAATATCCCTATTCTCTGATATTTGTCTCTGTGAATGTCATTGCTCCCAGCTTTTTCGCTTCAATTGTACGCATTTCACAGATTTCTTTTTTTTTTTTTTATATTTCTCCCTCATGCATTTTTCATTTTTTGTTTAATACAAATCAACCATGAAGTTAAAATCTGTGGACTTCTCAGAAGTTTTTATGCAAATGATTATTAAAATTGATAGCATCATTCAGTATCACTTCATAGACATTTTAGAGTTAACCTTTTTAATTCACTGTTTTGTGTATGTTTCTTTAAGACAGCTTTTTTGATAATTTAATTTCTAACCTTTTTTTTCTGAGATATTTACACCTTATACCCAGTAGAATTACGTTTTAAACTATTTGAGATTAGGGGTATCATTTCATAAGATTTTTGCAGCAATTTTTCCACATAGAGATTAAAATGTTTTGTTGAGCTTAAACTTAGTCATTAAGGCTAAATCCTTTAAAGGTCTAGTGGAACTTTTTTCAAAAATGTAGACGAGAAATGCTCAAATTACATTCACAAGACAATCTAACCTGCTCCTCTTCTTTTCAGTAGGATAGCCTATCATATGCGGAGTGCAATTATGCACAAGCCTCTTGTGCACACATTTGGTTTGTAAAATGTTCTACATATAGGGTGAGAGCATTGAAGCTACAACAAATTTCTGAAACTGAAGGTTACTGGGTACAAATACTAAAAGTGAGCATACTTAGCAAATTTCATGCACATTAGTTACAGAAGGTGAGCATATCACAAAGATTAGCATGTGGTACAAACAGTAGATAAGATGATCCCCTCAACACTTAAAAGCGAAAAGTCACTGATCACTACTGCTCACTGTTCACAGTTCATTATACAGTACCTTTACTTAAATGTTATCGAAGTTCCAGAAATGTGGCCGTTTTTTCCTAATGAGGTTGCAAACTTTAATCTGGCTTTGTCTTTATTACCAAAAGGTTCCTTAATGTTTTTATTTTTAATTTACTTCTCTAAGGTGTCAGTTGAAGCTATCATCTTCACATTTCAAATTCTACATTTAAAAAAAAAAAATAATAATAATAATGTTTTAAATTTTTTTTAAAGAAATTATTAAAATGGCTCCAGAATACAACATGTTCTACACTACTTAGAATTTTAACTTATGGAGATTCAAAATTCAAACTGAATATTCAAAAAACAATTGTATAGCTATTAATTATCACACATATAACATGCTAGCTGTATTTGTGTGTGATTATAAAATCTTTTTTTGGCGTTACAAATATTTACCAAAATTGCATCACTGAGGGGAATATCTAGTGACATAGTTGCCTCATGGCTTGCCAGTGGAAACTTACATTCCTTCAGTACATATATTATGCCTTCGTCATTGTGTATACTCTTAAAACATGACTCATCTCTTGGGCCTGCTCTAAGCAAACACAGACGATCACATTTGACTAACAGGCTTACCAACATGACATGCAATGACATTCTCTCCATGTCTCCCTTTGCGCTACCAACAAGCTGCCATCTCCTATGGAAAAAAAAAAAAAAAACGTTGGTCATTAACTATATGAGACACAGAGTGAAACATGCTACTATCAGTCAGCTGTAGAACACATTTTCCGTATCATTAACTCTATAAATAACTTTCTGTAATAGATTTCATGAGGAGAAAATGATGGACATTCTTAATACCCCATTTTTATTAAAAACCATTGGCTTCTGGCTAATAGGGGGCGCTAGGGTGCTGCCCCACCCACCAAATGACCATGAGTAAGACATAAAAAATATATAAATATTTTTTCTAATTTAACTATAAAATAATATGTAAAATATTTTTAAATATATGCAAGATTCATATTAATGAGGAGCAAAGTGTCACTTCAACTTTCATCTGATTGGTATTGAATTTCCTTCTAAGGGCGCAAAATCTTTGCCCGTTGGCCCTCGGCGGGCTGCGTCTTCCAAAGGCCAGATTCGAAGGCCGATTACCTAGGTCAAAGCGTGGCACCGAGGTCTGGTTGGATTCCAATTCAATTCAATTCAGCTTATTTATATAACGCCAATTCACAACACATGTCACCCCAAGGCATTTTACAGTTCAACCAGATCATCCAGTCAAATTGATTCAAAGTTTTCTATCTAAGGAAAACCAGTTGATTGCATCGACTCATTGACTCAAAGGCAATCCCTCACACTAAGCATGCTTGTAGGGACAGTGGAGAGGAAATACTTCCTTTTAACAGGAAGAAACCTCCAGCAGAACCAGGCTCTTTGTGAGCGGTCATCTGCCGAGGCCGACTGGGGTTCAAGGAGACAGAAGCAGAGATACAAAAAGCAGCTGTAAAAGGCGGCCTGGTCCTGGGAACACACAGCCAGGCAGACAAGCTCCGTGCCAGCTTCTATGTCAGAGGATAAAGAGAGCACAGTCACAGTCAGAGAAACAGAACTACACTGAAAAACATTCTAAGACTCCTTGTTATACGGACTAAAAATGCGTCCTTCTTTTTGCCCGATTTGAAGGACCGGTCCGGTGTGTCCTCTCTATCCTTGATTATCCCAGGATTCATTGCGAGACAAGGCAAGCCGACTGCTCCGTGATCAGAGAAAGTGGGACTTGCCCCGAACAGTGGTGAATATTGGAGGTTCAGTTTAACACAAGTATGAATAGTTCCGTGAATAGCTCCGTCTGAAATCAATGAAAATAGTTGTTTTAATGGTTATTGAGTCAGATATGTGGCTGGTAATGTTTGATTTATCTAAAGGTTTTTTTTCTGTTATTGTGTAAATGGGTTTGGCTGTAATTTAAGGACAGATTCTAATATATCTGCAGTATGGGGACTATAAATCTAATATGATTTATAGTTTTAATTGCTATTTTGCACAATTTCCTTAACTAAGTATTTTTTTGTTATTTAATATAGGAGATTTTGCAGATATATTTTTTAGACATAGATTGTTACTTATATCTTCCTACCCCTTTAATAGAATAAAATAGAATAGAAAATCTCTGTATTGTCCCACAATGGGGACATTTACAGCAGCAAAAAGATTAATGAAAAAGAATAACATAACAGTGTAGAGTTAAAATATAAACAATAAAATACTGTACTGTAAAGTGTTTTAACAATATAAAAACTGTGCACCTGGAGAATAAATAACCAATATACAGTTATGGACATTTTTACAGTAAGGGTTTTTTTGCAAATAGCAGCAACATCAGAGATGTGCAAAATGACAGCAGAATGTTATTTAACTGACTAAGGTTTAAATCATTACATTTGCTTTTATTTGTTAATGCTCCAGGTGGTTGTTGCCTTTATTCCACTCTGTATTCTTTGTGTTTACTTTACAAAAAAAAAGACAAAAAAAAAAAGAGAAACACTTCGAAATCGTGTGTAATAAGTTTCTTGTTTAATCATTGTGCAGGATAAGTTGGAAGTAATGCTGCTTTCTGTCCATTATCGGTTTATTTATTGCTATTTATTTGCTTCGAATTCATGCAATACACATATTTTTTGTGTTTTCCTCCTAAACTCTTAATGCAACTCATTTTACAACATAGGTGCTTATTGTAATACTCAATTACTGGCGATCTCTCACTGTTTACAAGTACTTGTTCCTTTCCCTTGTAGCTGTGCACTTATTCACGATGGATCAATAAAAATAACCTTAACAGATCGAAACAATGTCTGTATCATTGGAATCAATTTTCTTTGAAAATTTTTAACAAGTGGCTCTAAAATAAATTTTTACAGAACTGGAATAAATTTAGTTTCTTATTACAGTTTAGACTGAACTTCGTTGTATGTCATTCGAATATTAAATTTTGTTGTAATAAATTGAGTTAATTTGAATTCAATTAGAACCAAATATAAGTTTGTATTTGCACATTTAACGCGTTTGTCCTGAATTCAGTAAAATTTTTCAAAATTATCCACAGATATGTCTACATCAGCACACAGCTAGAGGGGGAAAATAATATTCTTTACCCCACTCCCTATCTACAATGTTTAATTCCTTTTTCTAGCATAACTTAACTCTGTTACCTGTGGTTTGCAACATAAGGTTTGGTTTTCTTTGGGTTGACTGCAATATAAATGAATTATTCAAGTAAAAGCAGTGTTGTTTTTAAAATTTCACAACATTAGTCAATATAGCTGTTTTCTTTTAATGTTCCCAGACAGATCTCATTTACAGTAATGCAACATTACAGAAATAGAAATCAAGATCTGCAACGTGCCATACATTTAAGATAAGTTCTTCGTGTTGTAAAATCTAGCTAAAGCATTACACTTGCAAATCCACCAGCAAACATGAGTTCCAATATAAATATAACCATTGAAAAAAACATTCAGTTTACTTTGATATTGTCAGCGCTTATCCAGGTCTCGCAGAGCAACAAGAAGCTTCTCATTTCTTGCCATTTTGCAACCAAAAACGATCAGGTTTGCTTCTTGCATTCGAAGACTCTAATTGAGTGAAACCAATGCGAATGTAATCCATGTTTCTCTTTGCAGTGTGTGTCTGTGCACCCAGCTCCGAGTTGCTATGGTTATGCCTTTCTCTGGCTCAGTCTGCAGGCGGATAAATAATGCACACTAATGCTGGCGTAGTGACAGCACTGCAGCAAGCTGTTGCTCAATTCGGCTCTGCCCTGGAAACGCTCATCAACACAGACATAAATATGTTAATGCACGCATGGGGCAGCTCCAACATATGAACACACACATCAGTCTCAGTCTGGGATCCTTGTAAACATTCTTATAGAGATGGTAGGCACCCAGAGGAAGGTGGGATCTGTATCAGCTCTGATATTGATTGACCAAAAGCCAAACCGATCTGCCAGGCTGTCAGGCATGTTCCAGGAGAGTAAGATATCAATGTTTGTTTTGACACAGTCCTGTTTAACGAACCAGGTGATTAAGCTTTGATGGACTAGTGTCAATACCTCCCTCCCTGTAGTGTGTGTTTAAACTTTTCTATCAGTATTTGCCTCTTGAAAGGCTGGCTGAAATGGGTGATTTGATGTCAAGTGATGCAGGACTATGTTTGAATCTGCGCACGTGATTTAGGGTGAATAAAGATAGAATCTTGATTTCCTTTGTGCTGTCAGTCATCAAGCATTGATGTTATTTTTTTATTTGCATATTTTTCTTTGGTCTACGGAGAGAGTGGCAGCAACCAAACGCCTCTTCATCTGGTAATAGTAACAACATCTCCCTAAGTTGATATGTATAGAGCTTTAAAACTGTATTTATATCCATTCACTGTTGATCTTCTTTTGTCATGTTACAGCCATAAACATTGCATGTTGTTGATGGACGTATGTATATTTTTTCTCCAAGTAGTTAAGTGATAAAATATGGCTTATGTGTAGGTTTAGTCTCCTTTTCCTAGTTATTCTAAGTGTTATAAGTGATATTCCACCCGTAGAGTATGAATATATGATTAACTACAACTGGAGTTGTAATTAATTATTTAAACCATTCAAAATTAAGGATAAAATCAATTTAATGTTCTTAGCTGAATAATTATAACTATAACCTGTTTAGTCTCCAAGATTTTAGGCCTCTTCACAACCTAGCTGTCATGTTGGGTCTAAAGTGTGAAACTTAAATGCAGAACACCACAGACTCAGAGTAGAAGTTCAAACTGTTTATTTGAAGAGAAAGCACAATAAAGTTATTTGGGCTCAGATGCAGGAACGGATCCAGGAACCGGTAACACAGGACTCACTGTAGAGAGGGACAGTTTGGTTAGCCAAGAGACTGGAGTATCTTGTCAGAGTCTTAGAATTGATCTTGTACCTGATGTGGTTCAGACAGAACTGTAGAGGGAGGGAACCAGAAGGGTCCAGAGACTGAGGTATCAGCTGAGGGCTTAGCAGTGGCAGGGCTTGGCTTCAGGCTTTTGAGATTCAGACCTTGAATTGATCTCCTAGCTCTCTCCTTGAGAGCCAGCAGGTTGTTCCAGGCGGAGATCTTCAGGTTTGTCTTCCAAGGGCAGGCAGGCAGGTTTTCAGGGTTTGAGCTCTTCCAGAGCTCCAGGAGAAAATCAGATCTTCCTAGGAAGGTAGAGAAGACAAGGCTGGTTAGATTCAGGTTGGCTTTAAAAAGCAGTCAGAGTTCCAGGCAACAGGTTTGGCTCAGGCTTGCTAACCATAAACTGTTTAACACTCTGGCGCTGAAGGGAAGTCAAGCCGCTGCTTATACAGGTGCTGGTCATAAAATTAGAATATCATGAAAAAGTAGATTGATTTCAGTAATTCCATTTAAAAAGTGAAACTTGTATATTATATTCATACATTACATACAAACTCATATATTTCAGATGTTTATTTTGTTTAATTTTGATGATTACAAATGACAACAAATGAAAATCTCAAATTCATCATATCAGAAAATTAGAATATTGTGAAAAGGTTCAAAATTGATGGCCCCTGGTGCCACACTCTAATCAGCTAATTAACTCAAACCACCTGCAAAAGCCTTTAAATGGTCTTTCAGTCTAGTTCTATAGGCTACACAATCATGGGGAAGACTGCTGACTTGACAGTTGTCCAAAAGACGACCATCGACACCTTGCACAAGGAGGGCAAGACACAAAAGGTCATTGCTAAAGAGGCTGGCTGTTCACAGAGCTCAGTGTCCAAGCACATTAATAGAGAGGCGAAGGGAAGGAAAAGATGTGGTCGAAAAAAGTGTACAAGCAAGAGAGATAACCGCACCCTGGAGAGGATTGTGAAACAAAACCCATTCAAAAATGTGGGGGAGATTCACAAAGAGTGGACTGCAGCTGGAGTGAGTGCTTCAAGAACCACCACACACAGACGTATGAAAGACATGGGTTTCTGCTGTCGCATTCCTTGTGTCAAGCCACTCTTGAACCACAGACAGCGTCAGAAGCGTCTTGCCTGGGCTAAAGAGAAACAGGACTGGACTGCTGGTGAGTGGTCCAAAGTCATGTTCTCTGATGAAAGTAAATTTTGCATTTCCTTTGGAAATCAAGGTCCCAGAGTCTGGAGGAAAAGAAGAGAGGCACTTCATCCACGTTGCTTGAAGTCCAGTGTAAAGTTTCCACAGTCAGTGATGGTTTGGGGTGCCATGTCATCTGCTGGTGTTGGTCCATTGTGTTTTCTGAGGTCCAGGGTCAACGCAGCCACATACCAGGAAGTTTTAGAGCACTTCATGCTTCCTGCAGCTGACCAACTTTTTGGAGATGCAGATTTCATTTTCCAACAGGACTTGGCACCTGCACACAGTGCCAAAGCTACCAGTACCTGGTTGAAGGACCATGGTATCCCTGTTCTTAACCCTTTATCGGGCAAGTTACCATATTTGAGCACTTCCGGAGACCTTCTAAATGACGTCACTGCGGCCTCGCGTATACTTGTCGAGTCACGTGATTTGGCCCAGCCAATCAGCAGGGACTAAGCTTGTTACGGTTCGCGCCATTGCGCCGTTCGACCAATCAGCGCGTGTCTGTGACGCGCGAAACGTCAGTGTTTTCCCGGGAGCAGGAAATCACCACTTCGCGGCTTGATTTCTCTAGCGTTTTCACTCGGCTCTCCAAAACTAACCATGGTAAGTTTATTAAACTTTCACATTACACGGTTGAGAAGTTGTACTAAATGATGACAGACATGTTTTTTTCGTGAGACTTTTGGAAATTGGCGAAATCATAGCATGAAAAACAGGGAGCACATATATGTGCATATGCCCAAAACAAGTAAAAACAGACCTGCATCAGTTTCGCCTACTTTAACTCATATGTTCTTTGTTTCTAAGCCACATTTTTGAGTTTCTGTTTACCAAACACGCATTATAACCAACAAATAATACATTAGAATCTTATCTGATGCTTTTAGAAGCTTTTATAATGATTTATTCACATATATATCTCACTTCTAAAGATTATATAGCTAAAAATGGTGAAAATAAGTGATTTTGGATGTTTTTGTATTATATTTTGTATCACTTAACTGTTATTTTATGTCTTAATAGTATTATTATTTATATTATTAATTGTTTATATTGAATAAGTGATATTATGACTAGTTTTAGTGCTTTTCAAGTATATGGCATATTATTATCCACATAATGACAGTAGCAGTAATAAAAATATACAATAATTATAATATTTTTCTGTTGCAGATTTCAACAAACATGTTTTATGGAAAGAGGAAGGCGGTTGTGATTGTTCCAGCCAACCCTGCCATCAGCGATGACGAAGAGGATGAGGAAGATGATGTGGAGGTCGATCCTGATTACATTCCAGTCAGCCACAACCTGGACACTCCCACCACAAGTGAGATGAGTCCTCCTGCCAAGAGGAGACATGTGCAGCCTGCAGTGGAGGTGCTTCAGGATGGGGAAGATGAGGATGAAAATGAAGATCAAGATGAGCAGGTTATACCGCAAGCTAAGGGTCCCACTAAACCCAAACCCAGACCCACCACCTGGAGGAAAACCAAATTAAGAAATTCACCTCTGCCTGAGTACCAGCACTCTGCTCCCAACTTTATTGGGAAACCTTTTGTGTACTTTTTAAGATACTTTACCCCACAATTCATTAGCCACATAACTTATCACACCAACCTGTACGCCAGTCAAAAGGACATTAACACCACCTTCACCACCAATGATGAGATGAGATGATGAAATTTGTAGGAATTCTCATCTACATGGGCATGGTAGAACTGCCATCTATAGATGACTACTGGGCCATGGACACCAGGGTTCCTCAGATTGCCAACATCATGTCATCAAAGAGGTTCAGGCTGCTCAGAAGGATGATCCACTTCAATGACAACACCCTTATCCCTGGCACCACTGACCGCTTCTTCAAGGTCCGGCCATTGTTCACCTTCCTCTGCAGTGCCTTCAGAAGTGAGGAGCAGACCCCGAAGCAGTCAGTGGATGAGGTGATGGTTGCCTTCAAAGGGAAGACAGCTGGGAACTTGAGGCAGTATATTAAAAACAAGCCTGACAAGTGGGGGTTTAAGTTGTTTGCCAGGGCCTCCGAGGATGGATTTATCCATGACATGGTCCTATACCAGGGCAAGACTACGCTGGAGGCCCATGGTGTCCCCCTGACACCTGAACAAAGAGCCTTGGGCGCCACCAGCCAGATTGTCTCTGTCCTGGCCAGTACCATGTCATCCTCCACCACAACAGCCATCTTCGCTGACAACTTTTTCACCAGCTTGGAGCTAGTCCGGTACCTCAAAACTCAGAACTGCAGGTAACAATTACTTTCTGTGAGTGAGTGAATGAATGATTACATTTTTGTTGCACTTTACTGCTGGATATGTAACCCACTTACATTGGATCCATTATTCATCCATTCCATATTTATGTGTTCAGATACACAGGAACTGCAAGGGACAACAGAATTGGACATCCTCCCCTAAAGTCCATCACAGAGATGGAGAAAAAAGGTGTCCCTCGTGGGACCTGTCACTCCGTTGTCAGTGATGATGGGATCCTGGTCCTCAGG